TGAAAAGCTTGGAATTACTGGGAATTTCTGGGAAAGGAAGGTTCCAGTTTTGTGAGACTTGGAATTCTTAGGAATTCCTAGGAATTCCTAGGAATTTTCAGCTATACAAACTCAGTATGGGTGGAATTCTTGGAAATTTCTGGGAATTGAATCTGAAGTGAATTAAATAGCCCTGAAATCCAAATAATTCCAAGAAACTCTCAATACCTTGAATGTGAAGGTTCTAAGACATGGAGTAATTTTAGAGGCTTAGAACTGGTTCAATAAAAGATATGCTAAACAAAATATACCAAGAGATGTATATACCTGTACATGTTTATCATGAAATTTATTATTTAAACTAAGCTTTAGTAAACCTTAACATTAATATGCATTTTTTCATAAAGCAGCAGTCAGTTACATTAAGTGCAAATTGTCAATTTAAATCCAATGTACTCATAATTCACAGATTTGCTTTCTAACCTCAAAGGCCTCTTAGATTCCAGTCATAAAAGTTTTTATCGTGATGCAAAATGTCTCATGTCCGGAGATGTGCCAAAATCATAATACATATAAACATAGTCATAAGCATGGGTCAACGCTGAATGCTTGTTACAGTCCAACTTTGTTGATTTGGGTACTGGTAAACCGTGATCATCTAGGTAGCTCTTATACTTCCTTAGGTGATATCCATCTGTCATAATAATGAGGGTAAAACGTGTTTGTAATCACATTCAAAATTGTGATTGCCTTCTGTTGTTTCTCACCTTTGCTGTGAACACAACTCAAGTCAGGGTTTCGAGTCTGTTTCCTCGACAGCTTTCAGCCACATATCTTGCATTTGTAGTACGTTCGATTATTATTACAGTTACAACAAGAATTTAATTTAAAAAAATCAATTATGTTACTGTAATTAAGGCCTTCACTCACAAGGGTGTTCAGTCAAAATTGACAAGAAATCTCTCAATTTCAACTTGCAGAATCAACAAAAACAAACAACATAGCATGAAGATGCTGCTTGACAGCTTACATTTGAATTTTAACACACAAGAGTTTTATCCAAAGAAGTTACAACCACGTGAAATTAAGTCAAAGCCTGACTCAGGGAGGAAAGGATACAGGTAAAATCTTATTTGTATCATCATCCCAAATTAATTGACTCCTTCCAAGACTATTTTTTGACTGATAGTATTTATTGCAATAAGCATAACCCAAGTTATTGCATTTCATGAAAAAGAATCAACGGATTTTATTCACAATTTGTGTCAAACCAAATTTACTGAATCACTAGGACTATTTTAAATGAATAGCTGTAATTGAGGATAATTTTTACGAAGTTTTCAAGAAAAGAAAAAGAAATTTCGTCCTAATATTACTACATGTTGATGTTAATATACAAAAACAAACAATTAACATTTAAACCCGAGTTAAGCATGTAAAAAAATTTCATTCACTACTTGAACTTATAGTTGTGAGTTAATGCATGTATTTATTTGATATCAGTTGCCTTGAAGTATTCTTAAAATTGCCAGTAATTCTTAAACATTCCTAGAAATTCCTAAAAAATTCCTTGGAATTTCCAGCAAGTTTTAAGATTCATAGTAATTTCAGGGAAGTCATTGGTGCTCTGAGTTGGAATTCCTAAGAATTCCCAGGAACTTCCAGAAATTCTTAGGAATTCAATTCCTAGGAACTGAATTCCTAGGAATTCCAAGTCCTGTTGGCTTATGAACGTGGAATTTTTGGGAATTTCTGGGTTTTTTCGGGAATTCCTAAGAATTCCCGGTCCGAATTACCGTGAAAATTGACACCTCTTATTCCCAGTAATTCCTAGGCTAATCCTAGGAATTCCAAGATCCATTTCGTAAGGGTGATGTTGAGTTTCTCGTGCAGAGATTGTAGTGTAACATGAGACAAACCAGCATCTGGCAGCTTCTGGACCATGTTTGTCGAAAGATGAAGCTTTCTATCGAACGTCTGGATGGTATCTTGTCGTTGTTCCGAGAAGATGGCTTGATCGAAGGCCTCATTCGGCGAGGCATATTTTCCATGATTGACCGATATAATTGTTCATGTGCAGTTTGAAGTGGAAGAGTGAAAAGAATTTGCTTTGACGTCCTCCAGATTGTCACGAGCGTCACACTCAGCAGAAATTAGGGTTTCATAAAACATCAGCAATTTTTTGGTCGACACAGATTTCGCGAATTTCTATAATTTTCGAGGTACTAGAGGTATGAACAAGCCTTGGCTTCATTTTTCTTTTTTTCTCTTTGCCGCTGTCATAACCGTGAACTTTCATTATTCCGTTTTAAATGGAAAACAAAACAAATTTTGCAATCCTTTCTTAACAAATGCGAGTTTGCATTTTCGTAGTTGTAATTTACAGTTTATCAAGGGAAATATCAACAATCTTTCTGACAAGTTTAAGATGAATATTTTACTAGGATTGTGGCAGACTTGAGACTTGGTGTTTACTACCAGAAATGCCACGACCACGACTGTAGAGGGATTGACTATCGTTCCCCTGGTATGTTCTGGCTGCCGAAAACACATCATTTTTTAGGATTTGTCGGGGAACAGACTTAAAATCGAGAGTGTGGAAGAACGATCCAGGGAGAGTTCTCGCACAGATTCCAATTGAAATGCAAAGTATGGCAGGGTTTTTTCCAGGAACTGGAGAACTAACCTTCATTATCTATATACCTACCTACCTAATCTCTATTTATCTAATTTATGTAATCTATCTAATCTATTTATCTTTCTATATTCAGTTCTTTACCAGCATTATTCTAGCTTTTTACAATCCTTCAACAAGATAGTCAAGATACGTTCACTCTTAAAATTATAGGAAAGGTGTGAATTTTTGCAAAAAGTTTTCCAGACTTTGCATAAGTATGGGAATTAAGATGGAGCCGTAAAAAGTAATCGGAGAGAGGTCTGGAGGGTATTCCTAATGGCGAGAAGTGCCTAACTAAATTTCACATTAATCCATTAATTACTCAAGTATTGGGAAAGCTTTATCGGTTGCGTTATTTGTGGAAGCATTGAGGGGGTAAAAGTCTTTTTATCATATTATAAACTAGTCATAGTCTACTGTCGTATGTTCAAAAAAAGAAATTTGCAAACCCTGTATCGTTTGATTACTTTCAGAAAAGCCTGTACCAAAGGAAATCAATCCGTTGTCAAGTTGTGAGGTAATTGAATAATCACTCTCCTGTGTAAAAAATTTGAATACGATTCATGAAGTGTAGTTTACGCTAATTAATCTCATAGCTCTTTTGTCAATTCATTAAAAAATCTTTCAAAATTGTTTATTTTCATTTTTCAGTTTGACAAGGTTTCAACTAATGATTTTGATGATCAAGAGCTTTGTAAGTTGTTATCTGAATGCGAGCAGGGACTAAATGATTCGAGGAGTGATGAAATGGAAGAGATGCTAGACACAAGCGAAAACAACATGAACGAAGATTATGTCTCAAGAAATAAACAAGTCGTGATGCAATTTGACAGCAGTGGTTGTGTTACGCAACCTAAAGTTGGCGATTGTGACTTCGGTAATGATTTAGACGATGAATTGCTGCTTGAGCTTGAGATTCCACACCACAGTTGTTATAACGAAGGTGCAGTTTCACATACAAGAAGCCTTAAGGATCGCAAAGAGCATACGTTACAATCTTGTCAGGATAATGAGAATTATACAAACGAAGTATGGAAGTTATCAGACGAGGGCAGCAACAAAACCAAATTAAATAGAACGGCTGGAATGAACCTCTCATCAAATTATGCGATTTGTCAGGATGAAACACAGGCTAGGATGAGTGAAAAATATATGAGTGGCGGGGTATTAACTGAGAATTATTGCATTTATGATGCAAGGGAAAAATGTTTATCGAATGAGGAAGTTTCTGAGTGGTGAGATGAAGAATCTCTTGGTGATTTGGAGTTGTCCATGGCTGCGGAGGAGGCCGAAAGTGCGGCTTATCTCAAATGTATCCTACTAGTTTAGTACACTTGTTTTTTTTTAAGTGATAACTCTCTTTACCAGGAAAAACTTTAAAGATAGTGCAAGATATTTGTTAGGTCCAATTCGATGTTGTCCTATAGAGCCCTGATTTCAAAGTCAGTTCGGAGAAGTGTTTTCTAAATACATGAATGAGTGATAAACGATGTATAGCTGAGATGTCTCAGTTCTCAAATATGTGATGAGCTGGTGTTAACGGAAAAGAGAAGCTTTCAAAAGAAGCTGTAAGAACCTAAATAAAAAACTTTAAAAAAGAAGTTTNTGATCTATAAATTCGGTGTTGCAAATCCCGTTCCCTCGTGTCTCGTATCCAGTCTCGCACTCATTCTGGAAGCCCATTTGAAGCATGCAAACTGGAGACAGTCTTTCACGTCCAGACCAAAGAAGGGAAATGGCAGATCAGTCCTCACTAGAAGTCCGCTCTTTCATCTCCCAGTTAATCCATCAATTGATTAGACAGATTGAAAACAGCAACCCTTCTGATACAGGTGATATTGATGGAGTATTATTCCGGGCTGTCTGGTTGTACAGCTGTTTAGTGCGGTATGTAGGGTCGTACGACATTGGGGATGACGTTCTGCAGCTTGTCCGCGACAGCAAAGATATGTTGTAAGTTATCGCTGAAAGTAATTATCTTAATCAGCAATCGTTTACAGCGGAACAGCTGCGCAGTAGCAGTCGTGGTCGACCACGATTAGTCATTACTGAGGAGCAGCTAGAGTTTTTACGGGAGCGAGGTTTCTGTTTGAAGGAAGTTGCCAAAATTTTTGGTGTTCATGTCAGCACCATCGAGCGACGATGCCGTGACTACATGCGAGCCTATACGAGACACAAGGGAACGGGATTTGCAACACCGAATTTATAGATCATAATATTTACAAGCAGACAGAATTTGTTCGTCACAGTAGAGTGCACAAAACCGAATTTGTAGAAAACAATTTGAAGTTTGCAAAGTAAATGACAAAAGACAAGCGTTCAGAATTTGATAACAGAATTGGAATTGAGCACCGAATTTGTACGTCACAATTTAGAGCACAAAACCCAATTCGTGGACAACAATTTGAAGTTCGCATATGAAATGAAAATGGAATTTAAAGACTAACACCGAATTTGCACGTCACAATTTGGAGCACAAAACCGAATTTGTGGACAACAATTTGAAGTTCGCAAATGAAATGACAATGGAATTTAAAGATTAATTTTGAAGGGGATCACACGCCATAGAATTGACCATCAGAGGATGTGTACTGTTATCATTCATGTTGGAAAACCTCAGAAAAAAGACGGGCGGTTCAAGGTGTTCAGTTGGTAAAAGAAAACGTGATATTAAACTGTGCGACAGTAGCAGAGGAGTACACAGACGAGGGAGGATTGGGTTGCTGTCGCTAATTTTGCCTTTTACCCCTTCCCCACCCCTCCTCCCCCCAAAAAAGAAAAAATTACCTTGATATCCGGCAGTCGGGTCGGGCATTTGTACATGCCTTTGGCCCATGAGGGGCGATGTTGAAGCTTTGAATTGATCTAGGCATGATATCTGTTGTCCAAGTGGGATTTCAAAGACTTTTAGTGTAAATCATTTCATGTTATTGTAATTGTTAGCAATAAGACGTAAATTGTGATGTCATTTTCTCTTTCGTGATCACTCTTCGCCGCATCTTGACTAATAATGGTAAACGGACGAAGTGGAGTGCAATCTGGTCTCAAATCCTACATGTGATTTCAAAATCATATGTATGACTGAGTGACCTAACAAAGCTTTTATTTGCATGCGTTGAATATGTTTGGACGTAAGGCAAGAAAAATGGGCCTAGCTCATAAACTCGGCTAACTTATTGAATATAATTTATTATAAAAAACGTAAAATCTATATCCATGGCGATAGCACACCTCAAAATGATCAATCCAATTTTCCTAAGTTTGCTGGTTTTAAAGTGCTACTGAAACGAAATTTTCTTATCTGAAATTTTTGCTCTAACCTGTAGTTTTGAATATGCTGATCGTCATGAGATAATTTGCTTTGGCCAAAAAGAAGCGAAAGATATCTTTTTTAACCGTTCAAATAAAAAATTTTACACAAAACCATGTCCGGGTTCTGGTACCGAGCGAAATGGATTGATTACGTCACTGGTTGTGTTCACTCCGATAGCGTGGTTGATTTCACTCACTGTCTGTTTGTAGTCGTGGGCGAAAGAGATGGCAGATATTGAAGTTTTGTCAAGTGAATCTTCTTCTGAACTAAGCGAAGTTGTCTCCAGTAGCGAAGAGGAAGATGGTGGCGTTTATTTTGGGTTGAACGAGATTTTTGCTCCCTATCAAGGCGAACCTCTCACAGATAGCCAAGATGCCGATACGGCCGCCGATGAAGAAGACGAGGATGGCATTTTGCCCGAAATCCTCTTTTTCGGCCTCCCAACATGCAAGCCACACTCCATGCTTTTACCCTTCTTTCACACAAGTACACAACCAGTGACATCAGAGGGCTGTTTTGGCCGCGCCAAGATGGCCGCCAATTTTGATCTCAGCCGGTCAACTTCGAATGGTTAAAAGTGTACTTTCCGCCATGCGTTGGCCCAAAAAAGTACACAGCGTTTGCAAATAACGTTCAAACTTTATTATATTGCAAAAATCTCGGTAATGAAAATTACGTTTGAGCAGCACTTTAATGTATTGTCACCATTAATGTATGTTTTCTAAATTACTGGAAAAACCGTTAAGAAGCCTCCTTTGGATAATATGTTGTTAAGTTTTTTTTGTCTTTGTCAAACTGAAATGAGTTGCCTGGTGACTCAGGCCATGTAAAACTGGCAAAACCTTTTATATTTAGAAAAATGCAAAACTACCTGAAGGCACAAATTCCGACGTTATAGCACAGATGTTTAAGGATGTCGTCCATAGTGAATTAAAATGAATGGAAAACTCATTCATAGGGTTATTCATTTAAAGATAATGATCTGGAAAAGGTGTATGCAGCTTGTTTTCTGTACATGACTTCATTGCTGTTTTAAGGCACTCGATCTGAATCGAAGTGAGGGAGCGGCGAAAATATATTTCAGGTATTTATTTATTTGATATTTAAAATGTCGTACAAAGAAAAATAACTGAAGATTATTACAAATGAAAATGAATTATGACACAAAATGAACCGAGTGAAGGATGGATATATCAATTCCACGGAAAAAAAACATTTTTTGCGTTCATGGAATTCAAACATGGCAGTTATTTATTGCTATCTCTCCATTTTTTTCATTTGAAGGGATGATAGAGATATTTATGGTTGCTAAGGCCTGTCATCAAAATCTTCGCCTAATCCTCAAGAAAGGAAGACGAGAAATTGTTTATTTCGACTTTCTTCGCAAGGATAATAACAATAACAGTATGTTCACATTTTTCATACAGTGAATTATTTACCGCGACACGTTCTTTCTGGCGTTCACACGCAAAAGCAGAAATACGAGGAAGGAAAAAATCATCACTGGAGAAAATGTAATTGTAAGGTGGGGGAGAAATAACTGTTTACAAGAATCTCTTTATAACTACAACCCTTCTTTTCTGGTTCAAGGATTATTTCACGATATTGTGATAATTTAAATTGTTGTTATTCATTTGTCATATGTGTCAAAATATGGTTCGGAGAAGTTCCTGTCAAAGCTTCAATAATGCACAGCAAAGTCTTAAAAAATTGATAATATTCTATATGATGATTATGTCACAGCGGCGTCATACGGTTTTTAACTTCTTTGTGAGGCAAACAGCCTCGGCATCTGAGATCTACAGTTCATAGTGAGATTCCACAAACATACAGTGCGCCTACCTGGGGAATATGCTTTGTTCAATTCTTTTTTTACTTTACTTAAATATGTTCTTGAAATTCTAATTAATATTCAAACCTCCCCTCAGCCCATCAGCTGAAAACAGGAGGATGGTGTCTAGCAGAACCTTGTGGGCTATCATTATTGTTTTCTGTAAGCACTGTTGTATTTATCTAAGAGAGTATCAAGATGAAATGCGATATTTAAACCTATTCCAAGATTTAAAAATAATTAATTTAGACTTAAGATATGTGTTCTCACGATAATACCCGTATGTGCCTTAAATATCCGGGCCTGGGGCAAAAACGAACTCGCGAGAAAGCAAGCGATACGCGCACGGGAGACACACTATGGAGGACCCGTGCTACAGGACATTATGAGAATAGAGTTACCGGTCCCTGTGATATTACAAGGCAACACAGGACTGAAGCTGATTTGCGCCTCTCTTTCGAATCCGAATGGTTACGTTAGCTTCAGACCATGTTCGTGTCGTAATTTATGCAGCTCATGTGATCAAAAAGACAAAATACATGGCTGGTCCTGTTCGTTCGATTTTCAACTGCATTGTTCTCCTAAACGATCACCTCTAAAATTATCAAAAAAATAGAAAATAAATAAAATAAACAAAACGAGCCTCATCCACTGCCTTAACTTTCCTTTCAGTTGCCATTTTTCATCATTTACGTTTCATATGAAAACAATCTGTCCAAAAAGGCGCTTAATTGAAAAATTTCATTTTAATTGAAAAATTAATTAATTGAAAAATTTCTTAATTGAAAAATTTAATTAAAAGCTTAATTGAAAAATTTCATCAAATTGTTTTTGCGCGTAGCATGATGCTGAAATCGGTGACATATGACGTCTGGTTAGAAATGTCTGAAAATCTATAGATCATGTAAGTTTCGGTCTGAATTACGAACATTCTCTACCGTTGGTTAATTTTTCAATCGATTCGAGGGGTAACCATCTCCCTCTGAAATTATTTTTTAACCAAGAAGTCGGAAATTTCGAATCTTGCAATATGAGCGGGCAAAATCCTGATTGGTGGAGTTACAAGAAAAAGGCAATATTTACATGGTCAGCGGTCTCTTTAAGAGTGGAGCTTTCCTTCCTTTCCCGAGGAATTGTTGGTTATCCGATCCTGGCAAAGCCGTCTGTCAAGGAAACCAGAAATCATTTCGGCCATCCCAAAATTACAAACTTGGAAGTATACTTTCTCACTCAGGAACGGGAACGAAGACTAAAATTATACATGCTCTCCTTTATTGAATTCTCACGCACGTGAGCCGGTTTAGATCGCACGCGACCGGTTTAATAAAGTCGTACCACAACACAGGTGAAAATGCTTCGTTTGAGAAAGACGTATTGCTAAATGGGGTCTGCCTTAGAGTGAAACGTGTGTGTACAGAGGATTGTTTAGGC